AGAGAAGAGAGGGGGGGGGGGGGGGGGCTGAGCTCCTGCCCTGCATGCCAGCAAAGAGCAGCATGCGTGCTGGGGGGTGCTGACCCCTGCCCTACAGCAAGGTCTGGGCAACGCAGTGTGGTAGCGTCTGGCTCTCTCTGGGGGTGCTCAGCTGAGCACTACTGAAGAAAGAAGATGGATAACAGAGGAAAGCGACGGGACCAGCACATGCTGCAGGTTAGGCCAAGTCACTTGAGCAGTCTGCAGTCCCCAGACCTCCCTTCTGAGCTTCGCCAGCCCAGGATACACAGCACTTTGCCCCCTCCATTGTGAGGGGGGAGCAGAGCATTGTCCCTCTCCATCCCCACCAGCAAGAAGCACTGAGCGAGGGGAAAAAAACGCATAGGTCTTGTGCTCCAAGTAGACCTGGTCCTGCATTCTCTCCCCCTTGCACTCTGCCATGGGTCTGGCACCTTTGAGACTGTTTGCCTACAGTTGCCTGACCAATCCTGCTTATAATTGCTCAAGGAGAGTGGTGCACAAGCTGCTTTGTGGTCCTTATTCCTGGGGATACCAAGAGACCATATTTCCCTAACTGGAAATGGGATGCCAGGTGAAGCTGTGGGGGGCTGGCCCAAGCCCTGCCTGGTCACTTCCCACCTGAGGCGCCATCACAGGCATTGTGACGTTTTTGGCAAAATGGGGCATTGCCTGAATGTTCCTCTTACAGCCCCACCCTGTCCGAAGGAGAGAAATGCCCAGTTTTACCAAAACCGTCATGATGTCCAGTTTCAAAAGGGGACTGTCCTAGTCAAACGGGGCTGTATGGCCACCGTAGTCAAATGGACTCTGACTTTCAGATCCCAGGCTGAGTTTCATGGGGCCAGGCAAAACCCCTGGACTTTGCAGGCGGAGCAGCTTGCACCTGGATACCCTGCAAAGCACGGAGCATCGACGACAGCTCAATGAAAATGCACCGTTCGTGCAAGGAGCACCAATAGCACTAGCCACGCTCCTTTCTTTTACAGAAAGATGCTACTTCAAGTTTGTTCTTCTGTAAAGCCTCCCCCTTAAAAACCAACCCTATGGTCAGATTTCAATCGCTATCTGCTGAGACAGACTGTTTCAATCTGAAGCAATTTCCAGCAGAGCCAAACTGTAAACCTCTTAAATTAGAGGCTTCTAAAATGCAAACTTTGACAATTGTAGAAGTAAAACTACATCTAGAGCAACAGTAAGGAAACCCGCGTGGCTCTCAAGTCAGGCAAGTGGGGGTGTTGGTTGCGGTGGGTCGAGTGACAGACAACTCCAGGTTCCTTGTCCTTTATCCTCCACAGCCTCACAAGAGCTCAAGAACATCGCTGGCTCATTGAAGGGGTGTTTTGGTACCACACTCACCATTCACAGGCCCAGGGCAGAAAGCAAAGGTCCTCCCCCTCCCCACATGGCACACGCACAAGGGGTGCTATAATCCTCCCGGGCTTTGTGCATCAGGATCCCAGGGGAAGCTCTTAAATGCTGCAGGCCAACAGTCTAGCCAGAGGAACCTCAAAAAGAGGCCAGTCCCCTTGGAGTCCTTTAATTACATCAGCAACCCTTTGGCATTATTTCCTTCCCAGCTAACAGCTGCTGCACCCTGCTGCACCCCCAGTCTGGCTCTGACAGCCGAGGGGGTTGTGCCTCACCTCGGCAGCGATGCAAAGGGGAAGGCCCTCCTCTTCACCATAACTAGAGTTCTCCTGCATGGGAACAGAGGCCCGGGGCCATGTTGTGCCACACTGCACAGGCCCCCTTACACCACAGCAACTACCCTGAGAGTGGTGTCCGTTTCCAACCCCTCCTTCCCGCACACCCCTCTCCGCCTCTCCTTTCACACAGCCCAAGGATAAGCTGCATGCGTCCCCACCCCCAGGCCTTTCAGGCAAGTAGCCCAACACAGCAGCATAATCTCACACACAGCACCAGGCAGCTAACCTGGTGAAATTCTCTGTGCAATGTGGGCAGAATGACTGCTTTCTTCTTGTTTGGAGTTCAGTAAAACTTAAGAGCCCCAATCGAAAACCGGGCCCCATTATGCTAGCAGCTGAACATACTCAAGGAAGGGGTTGAAATCATCCAGTCACTCATGGCCTCTCACTTATATCATCAAACCACTCACTGGGCACAGAACAGGAATGGAGAAGGAAAACCCTCCTTGGTCCCTGGCACAAGTAGGGTCGTCCACCTGGTAGCAATGAAGTCTGGCTGTGGAGAGACCCCACTAGATTTAAGGGAGCACAAACCCTTCAATGCTAAAAGATGTGCTTGGTAACACAGAGGACAGACCTTCCCAGCCGACTGCGCTTTAAAAACTGACAGCAAGACAGGCCCCTTAAAGCGGAAGTTTAAAGTTTGCCAACTACTAACGCTAGAATCCCAGCATTAAATCTTAGAAGCTGCTCCTGCAGAAGCTACAGGGAGAATAATCCTGCCAAGGAGCTATAAAATAAACAGCTTGTCCTCCACCAAACACAGCACAGCCAACATCTCCTGGGAGACTTGCGTCAGACGGGAACTCACCAACCACCATGATGTTGAACTCAAACCCTTGCTTCATGGCTTTCCTTCTCATCTGCTCGAGGATGGCGTCGATCCCCACATAGCCGAAGTCGAGGGCTGGCTTTTCGGGCCGTGCTGGGGCCGCCTGCTTGAGGCCAGTGTCTCGGGGGGCCTCCATCATGCTGGGTGTGTAACAGGGGTCTGCCTCTGGCCCTGTGAAGTGAATGCAGAGCAGTGGGAAGTCAATGCTAAGTGCAGAGCAATGGGAGGGAATGGCAGCAAACACCCTCCTGGCCCCTCTGCTTGGAAGTCAGGCAATGCGCCGTGCACGAATGGCAGACAAGTCTAGCTAATGACTGCAAGTTAAGAGGTCAGATGGGTCACAAACGTGCTTCCTGGGAGTGCAGTTCACTTGGTTTAACATTCCGCTGGCTCTAGGCACATTACAAAGCTTATTTCAAACACTTTACATGGAATATTAGGTTGTCCAACTCGGCCTGCACAAAGACCTCGGCAATACCCACTTCCCCCCCCCCCCCCCCCCCCCCTTTTCAACAGTTTGCGATCATCAAATATCTAATGATACAAAATCAGTCACAGCAAGGAGGGAGGCAAATTCCAGAGCCAAGAAACCTTCCTGTAAGTGTCCCAGTCAGAATATTTAGAGAGACAAGATCTCAGCACAGACCTGGCTACTACAGGGAAGTTTCCCAACTCAGCTGTATCAGTAGTATTATACTGCACTTCCTGTTTGCTTCAGCTGCTTCTAAAGAGGCCGAAGCTAGGCTGAAAAGAGGCCACCCCAAGTTCCCTGTAAGCCTGGACGGAGCGGCCCAGACCCAGAACCCCGCACACCCTGTTGCTGTCAAAATACCCCAGCCTGGAGACACACACCCCACCGCAGCCTGGGCCTAGCCCCCACCTGCCATAGCTGGGGCAGCTCGCACAATCCCAGCCAGACACACGCATGCCCACTGCCAACCTCTGCACCCTCCCCCCAATACTCCTGCACCCCACCCCACCGCATCCTCTGCCCCAGCCCCACCGCAGAGCCCACACCCCCAGCCAGAGCTTTCCCACTCCTGCATCTCACCCCTCTACCTAGGCGGAGCCCCCTCCCACACTCTGAACCCCTGGCCCCACCCGTTACATTAATTGTTATGTGCAGCAATATGAAGGTGATTTGTTATGTGCACCAACGTGCAGGGGACGTGCAACACATCACCTTCGTATTGGTTCACAAAAAATTGATTCTACTCATGAGTGGGAAAAATTAGTGGGATCACTACTGTAAGTCCTGCACAAGTGCTCACCCAATGTGGGGCAGAGTGGGGGGTGCTGGTTTACACTGCACAGTCGCAGAGATACTTATACTGGTGTCGCTCTGTGGGTAAGTTGCCCTGTGTAGACAACCCCCTTACTCATAGCTCATAAACGGGACAAGATTGCCCACATGACAGACAGCTGGGTTTGCGGATTAGCAGGGGGAGAATTAGTAGAGCTCCCTGTACTGTCACTACTCAGAGGGCATTGGAGGCAGGGAGGGAAGTGGAGTGCAGCCACAGGAGCACCCACCTGGAAAAATTAGCAGCCGAGCCCTTTTCTTCCACCGACACTGCTTGACACCATGACTGGCTCCTCTCCTCCTCCCTCCCAGCACAAACAGCTCCAGGAGAGCAGGGGAGGAGCAGGGATGGGGTGCAGTGGTGGGGAGGGGCGAGGAGGATGAAGAGCAGGCATGGTAGGGACTGCAGGGGGAAGGGATGGAACAGGGTGGAGCAGAGGTGGAGGCAGGGCATGTGGCGGGTGGCTAGAGGAAAAGTCAGTGCTTAGGAGTGAGTATCAAAAGTTTCAATTATGCTGTTTAGAAAGGAAGAACAAGAGTGGCTAGTGACCGGGCCCTCCCATATGTTAACAGAGCTGCAGGTTCACATGACTGATACAGAACAATTGCAACTTTAAGCTATTAAAGGGCAATTCAGACATGCCCAAGAATAAACTTTGATTGTGCCCTTTTAATTTACAGGGTTTTCCTGATCAAGCCACTTCCAAACTGCATCACCAACCCACACAGTTGCTCTGCAGGCCAACATATATAGCTGAGGTTCTCAAATAACACAGCTCATGAATTCTCCCTTTCCAGAAGAGACCAGGACCTGCAGGGTCTCTCTACACACTCAATTAGAGGCCAAAAAGCCGCCACTCTATAAGACGTTCAACGCCTATCCCTAGCCTGGGACGGGGAGCTGCAGGGAGTCAACACATTGTTTTCTATCTTGGGGCAACTGTGCCTTGAAAGTCTCCTAGGCACCGGGGAAATTCCTCCCTTGCTGCTGCTAGGTCTAGCAGGGATGACACCAGGTGCTCTCCTGCCTTGTTTGCCTTGCTCTCTTTATTTTTGGCCTTTTATGATGCATTTAGTGCTGTTCTCCTCCCCCCCACCCCCCAGGTCCAAAAACGTGCGTGCGTGTTAGAGCTCTGCAAATCCACAGCTGCCCACTTGCGGATACAAAATTTTGTATCCATGCAGGGCTTTGTATCAGTCAGCAAGTGGGGGGGTGGGGAGCAGAAGCTGCACCCCCAGCACTGTCTCTGTAGTGCTGCTGCCTCTGTGAGGCGGGGGTCTCAGCAGATGGGCTGTTTTGCGGCAGCCTCCCCTGCTCCCTCCTCCCACCCAGCAGCCTCTGTCTGTGAGGAGCTTGGGTCCTCTGCTGCCACCCCGCACTGCTGCCTCTAATACAGAGGCAGCAGCGTGTGGTAGCAAGGGGCTCCCTGCGAGTGGGTCTGGATTACACTGGCTGTTGTCCCCAGAGACTATTCTATAGTCAACTAACCACTGAGAATGCGGTTAGTCAACTGTCCTATTACCCGGTAGCTAACATCCCTAGTGTGCACACGTGCACATTTAGCTTCTAAAGACACCTACATCTACTTTCACATCCACTGTCCCCTTTCTGCCAGTGAGCTGCAAGAGATCTCGTATCCTCTTGCAAGCCAGAGACTCTGGACTTGAGGTTGCATGGATCTGGCACTAGGAAGCAGTTGCTTCTCCCAATAGCACACATACATTTCACATACTTAATCTTCCATTACAGAATGCAATTTGACAAATGTGTTTAGACCACTTAGAACTTTTTTTAAAAACACAACACACAATATGTTCAAACTGGCAAGGCCGAGAGTAGAAAAACATCCTACATAACACTTGAAAAAACAAAGCCACTTGGAAAGAATGCGGCCTCTAGGAGAAATACTGGGTTATGTAATGGTTTGACTACTGCAGTCACACAACGGCTACATCTACACTGGCCCCTTCTCCGGAAGAGGCATGCTAATTTCAGACTTTGGAATAGGGAAATCCGCGGGGGATTTAAATATCCCCCGCGGGATTTAAATAAACATGTCCGCCGCTTTTTTTCCGGCTTGGGGAAAAGCCGGAAAAAAGCGTCTAGACTGGCGCGATCCTCCAGAATAAAGCCCTTTTCCGGAGGATCTCTTATTCCTAGAAAAGGGCTTTATTCTGGAGGATCGCGCCAGTCTAGACGCTTTTTTCCGGCTTTTCCCCAAGCCGGAAAAAAAGCGGCGGACATGTTTATTTAAATCCCGCGGGGGATATTTAAATCCCCCGCGGATTTCCCTATTCCAAAGTCTGAAATTAGCATGCCTCTTCCGGAGAAGGGGCCAGTGTAGACGTAGCCAAACAGTAACACAAAGCAGAGATTAAATAAGGGAAGATCAGTAGGACTGAATCCTAAACCTGTATGGTTCTGGGGTGGTTGGAAGGGATTACTCTTGTACATATGGGAACATATTCGAGATGTAAGTGACTAATCGACTATCCAGCGAGCATATGCTTATCGGATAGTTGAGTAGTCACTCGACTAGTTGCTTCCTGCCACACCTATCAGACAGAGGCAGCAAGGGGGTGAGAACTGGAGCTAGTGCTGGGGAAAGCCGGCTTAAAAGCCGGTTCTCCCTAGCATGATCTCTATTTCCTGGCACCACATGGGGTATGTCTACACTTGCCCCCTCCCCCCCCCCCATGTGGTGCCAGGAAATAGTCGAGGGATGCTGAGCTGGGATGTTCCAGCCAACTCACATGAGTCCACACTTGACTCTGATGAAATGGTTATGTTTCAGCAGCCCCAAAAGGTAAGATAAAAGCCATACGACGTCAGAGTAAACACAGACAACAGACTGTTGGTGCAAATCACGACGACTTGCTCCCAGCTAGCATATGGCAATGCAGTTAGGTAGCTCATTCCACAACTGCTTGGTCCAAGCTATAGGAAAGTGTGATTGGAAAGACTCTTAAATGTTTTTCCCTTCATCTGCTGCGATCTGAAATCTCAGCGTGGTTAGTGGACGGCGACTGACCTTACAGAGCCAAACAATGACTGACTCTGCATGCACAGCTCTCTAATGCACAGAAGTGATTTTGTAACGAAGATATTGGGAATATTTTTTTCCTCAGTGCTGCAAGTTACCATAGATGTTACTTGTAGCAAGTGTAAGTGAACAATTTTCAAGATGTGTGAATAAATTGACACTATTCCTTTAATAATCAGCAATCAGTTAACAAAATGGCATCATCAATAGGTGCACGTTGGCATAGTTGGTTGTGTCTGGCCAAAGTCTCACCAGCCAATCGGTAGCCAGGATTCTTATGACATCCCAAAGCATGCGTCATATGCCTGATGCCACTCTTGGAACACAAGGCCAGCCTGCTTTCCTCCAGGCAGATGTTTCCCTAGTGGCTTGGGGAGTGTTCTCGTCAAACTCAAATAAAACAACTTCAGAACTAAATCTGATCAGATGCAGCGGCTGGCTGTGCACACATGCTGCCAGGATTTCCTGTTAGTATTTAAAACTTATCTTCTTGATTATGGTTCAGAGCTGCAAAAACTTTCCACGATACTCATATCAACACCATAAACCAGAAGCTCTGAGGGCTATTAGATGGCATATATTAAACTACATAAAACTTTGGTTCCCTAAGAAATTCATGGCTGTCACTGTGCTGCCCACCTAGAGAACTCATAGCAACAGCTAAGACAGATCTCAGATGCCTCTGCTCCAAAAAAGCTCCTATCCCTTTGCACTAAAGGAAATTTTCAGTCTAGGGCCTTTGACACATAGCCAAGCACTCCCAACTGCATTTCGGAAAGGGTAGGGATGCATAGTATTCTGCTCATTAGAGATGCCTTGTTTCC